GTCTGAAGGTGGAAAGGGCGAAGGTGGGGACAAAAGCATCTTTCTTTCTCRCAACCCTTCACCTGATTGCTACAAGCTCCCTACCCATACCCTTCCCTCTGCTCACAGCATCCAAATGCTCTGGACTCAGCCCTGGCTCTGAGCACATACACACACCTTCTAGCAAACCTCTTTCAATCAATCTGTTCCCGAGTGTGTGTCAGCAGGATTTTGGTCAYGAGTTTAGTAAGGGCATGTCTAGCCCAGAGACGCTTCATCTTTCAACAAATATATCACCTAACTAATGGAGCCACATACTTTGTATTAGTTTAATCCCTCTAACTAGAATTTTTCAAGGTAGCAACTTTTAGATCACATAAATAATCTCTCCTGTAAGACATTTCTGTTTACAGTTGAAAAATGCACAATTCACTCTTAGTTCACTTAGTTTAAAGTTTGCTTTTTAGTGAGTTAACTGTCTTCCCAGTAGTTTCCTTACAGTTCTGAGCTCAAGCAGTCCTCAGTAAGGAGGACTAAGTCCTCCTGCCCTTTTCTAGGCATCTCTTAACATGGAAGGCAAAATGGCAACATCATGTCTGACATTTAAATTTTGTCCCAGTCCCTTCCATTCATCCACAGATTCAATCCAATGGCTTGCAACAAAAATATAGTTGATTTATTTAAGCATATAATTCTTTGTGCACATATGACATTTGCAGAAAAGCCCAGTAGGTATATCTCCAGAGAGTGCRGTTGTCCAAACACACAGCCATTATGATGATTTTGTTTAGTACCTCTTGACTGCCAGGCTGGCTGTGTTCTAATTCAACTCATGGTCAGCATAATAATATGCTTACAAGAGGGAAAAGCAGCAGGCTTCAGAAATTCTGTACTGTCTAGCCAGAGCAAATGCTTTATTTAGATTTGTATTGTAATGAAATCTGGTGGAATGTTTTCAAAATGCAGATTAGTGTCTTTAGAAATACAAAAATCAGCAAAACATCTATGTACCTTACAAATGTAAATTAAAATTCCCTTAAAATTTCCACTAAGATTTAGGAATCAAACCTGTTTGACTTCAAACAATCCCAACGGGAGTCAACATTATCGAAACATTAAGTATGTAAGTTGGGGAWTTTTTAATATTCTGTTCCAAATGAGAATAACATATAATAATGACATAATGATAATAATGATATTAGCCTATTCCAAAGCAATAACAAAATGCTATTAAAAAAAGTCTACAAAATTATACCTTGTTACTTCTTTTAAACTTATAAAATAAAACCATCTACTACTGCATGTCCACTGTGTAAACATAGTTACAAACCTAAATTTTATTATCCTACCAAAGAGTCTTAAACTCCACCTCAATTTTATCTTTATGCTACTGGATAATTTCTCCAGAAGAGAAAGGCAGGCATTGCTGTTTTCCCCATTCTTCTTTGCTTTCTCTATCAACTTGGGAAGCTTTTCATGGCAAGTTCTGTGTATTTGCACAGGATTTTCCAGAGAGTTGGCATATCGGCTCTATTAAAACTACAGTAAAATATTTGACATGAGCTTCTTAGCTGAAACTGGATTAGAGGGGATCATGGATCACACAGGTAAAACACTATATGCCTTCAGAAACAGAGGTGTCCTGTTCTCAGTTACTGGGAGTTTCAGGAAATGTTTGAATTTGCTATCTGTCCTTGTAAGCGGAATAAACCAACAGTCCCATACAGACAACAGAGGCCAAGTCACCACTGCCTAATGTTSCCTTCTGAAAGGGGGGAGGCACCTCCACCTGTCAAAGGTCATATTTAAGGAATTATGATATTGATAGGAAGCTCAGACATAAACATGCTTTGAGATAAACTTGGAGGCACGGCAATTCAATGTATCACCTAAACTACACACTGTTATTGGTGTCAGTACTCAGTCAAGAAAGGAAGATGTAATGCAASGGTCTTTTGCTGAGGTCAATTGCAGCTGCAGATCAAGTAAAACTTATCCCGAACAATTGCATAAACATGGATGGCCACACAAAGACCAAAAAAGAGAAGGTACAGGCCAAAACCCAGTATCTCCCCAAATCTCTGCACATGGTTTCTGCCTACATATTTATAGTGTCTGATCTACAGRTTGATCACTAATTTATTTCCACAGAATCACAGAGAGGTAAAAGTTGTAAGACACCTGTTGTCTAGCCCACTCACTCTGCTCAGGGCAGGGTCACATATTATTGGTTGCCCAGGGCTGAGCCATCTCGTTTTAAGTATTTCCAATGATGGAAACTCCAYGTCCCTCTTAGAGCTATCTATTCTAGAGTTCAGTTGCCATTAGAGAAAGGAAACAACCAAACAAAAACTTTTAGGTAGAACTTYCTGCTTTTCAGTTTCTGGCCATTTCCTCTTGCCCTCTCACTGGACACAATTGAAACATGCCCAAGTCAAATATCTTTCACTTCTTCTCATCAGCTGTTTAACGCATTTATAAAATACCTCCTGAGCATTCTCTTCCCCAAGCTAAACAATCACAGAACTTGAGTGTTGAAATTAAGACTCCTAATCACTTCCAATTACTTAGAAAAATGTGTTGGTGAAGGAACCTATTTTAAAAAACCTGACCAAACAAAAAGCCTTTACAGGCTGAAATTTGAGGTCGAAATGTAAACCTGCACTGGGACATCTCACTGACAAAAGCATGCACATTCGCAGTGCAGACAGTCTTGTGTTATAAGCTATGCTTTCCAACAGWGAAAACAATCCTATACTCTGTCTCTTGAGAGCAGTGATAAAGTGTACTGACTTCTTTACTGGTCTAAGGGAATCCTGAAAGCATAAAAAGAGGAAAGAAATAGAAGGAAGATTGCCTTTAAAGGAGACACATTAAGATCAATTCTTCTTGTTATATAACTAAAGGAATGAAATCAAGCATAACTTAGTAGGAATGAGAAAGGTAATATAGAAAAGATTCTGCAGTAGATTTAGTTCAATAAATTGAGCTTCAAATAAAGACAAAAATGATCAAAGATGCAAAATGAATGCTCACTCATAGAATATTTAGCTAAAACAAAAGCTTCCAGCTATGCAGAAACCAGGATAGATAAATTACTGCGGATACTTGTAGGTAAATACAGCTGAGCAGACACCATAAAGTTGCTGCTCTGTACAGAAGAATTATTTATCTTTCCAAAAGCATAAGCTATTGGGCATTTAGCCCTGCAGGGACATAAAAAAAAAGCCTACCAAGTGTTCTGCCTGTTTGTCTTCTTCAAGGATTTTTCTAAATGGTTGTAAATAAACTCATCATAAAGTATCTGTTACCAGTGGCAAGCAGCCTACCCAGATGATCTTCAAAGCRAAGGAAACAATTTTTAGTGTCAAACTTAAAACTTCTGCTTCAAAACTAACGAATTAAGTTACCATGCTGAATAGCATGGCAGACTTTAATCTGCCTTCTTCCATTCTGATTTAGATATAAATAAACCCTTTAATTGTAAACCCCTGGTCCTTTAGGAGTATGTAGTGAGGTCCTACTTCTTCCCTTTGCACCTCAATATGCATTAATAAATGTCTTAGTAGTGGCTATATACTAACTCCTTGTAGCTTGTAATTCTTCTTAACCCATTTCTAGATGTAGGACAGCCAGATCTTTCAAGAAATTCAGTTGTAAAAAATTATTTTACTGTGCATTTACCAAGTAAACTTTACACAATTTGTCACTATACTAGAGAAGGCAGAAGTCCTGTAATCATTACTTGCCTCCATTTCCTAACATCCTCCAAAAGTTCAAGACCCAGAATTTCCAGAATAAGAACAGGATGGGCTTCTTTAATACTATATAGAAAGCTACTTCATTCTACACACAAGATATACTGCTAGTATGTCAAGTTGTCAATAGACTCTTTCACCAACAGCTGACTCCAAGAGTTGTTGTCTCAGGGAAAAATCCACTCCATGAAGCTCCAGAAGAWAACCATCATCTGTGTCTGCGGTGAAAGGGGTGGGTGTCTTCTCTAACAACAGAAAACCTGAGTACAGAAGAAATAGCAGAAAAGACTTCTGCATGATGAAGCAAAGACTACAAGTGTTATAGCTCCTTCTCCTGTTTGAACGGGAACAGAGGTATCTACCACAACAACTTGGTTCAATGTGACCCTGAATAGATGTAAGAAAGTTTCAGACTCCCCATTCTTCCTCTCCATTTCAATTTTCCATCCCAAGTCACCGCTTGCAGCCTCATAATATGAAACAATGCAGGCAGAATTTCATAGATAAGTCACCCACTTGAAGATGATAAAGTTTTAAGCAAAATAGTTCAGTACTACAGAAAATTCTTGCCTCATTATGCAAAACCCAATCCTATTTTTAGATTCCATCTTATGTTCCCTTATATTACACTCCACTAGGTCTAAGCAGAAATTAATACAGGAAATTTAAACAGCAAACTCTATATRTAAAGTGCTAAAGAACTATGTTCCCATGAGACTTAGAGAAGTACAGTCATGGGGGGTTTCTAGTGAGCAAAGCTGAAGAAAAGGAATACTGTAGCTTCTAAGCTTTATTTTTTTTTACCTTTTAGTAGTTATATAATACTTAAATTAGAAGAAAGTAAGCTCAAACACAAACAGCGCTTTTCTCTTGTTTGCTTACTTTATCATTATAAGGCAGCATTAAGCACCCTGTACAGATTCAGTACAAGATCACAGAATCATCAAATAGCTCGAGTTGGAAGGGACCTTAAAATACATCTATTTCCTACCCACCTGCCACAAGAAGGGACACTTCCACTAGAACAGCTTTCTCTAAACCCCACCCAACTGGCCCTAGAAGATGAAAGATTGCTGTAGAAAGCTGCATGTTGAGACAGTAATAAAAGAGTAGAACAATGCCCACTACTGTTTCTCCTTACCAGAAGGTGAAACAGTGCCACCCGCTGTTTTTCCAGGGTATCCCCTGCTGCAGAAAGCTGTCAGTATTCGCATTTACTGAAGTGACAGCTCATGCATGCTAAGCCTTCTTCCCTCACTCCCTCCCACCACTGCGCTTTACTACCAGGTGACACGTCTAAAGCGATATTTCAACTACCAGGARAGCTGCACAAAAAGTTCTTTGAATTTGCTCTGCTACAGATAAAGCCTCAAGATAGACAAAAGGCTGAATCACAGAAAAATTAGCGTTTTTTATCCCTGGGAGCACAAATTTCTTTGTGCACGTAAGCTTTCACATTCACTAGTTGTATGCAACTCAAGTGAATCTCAAGCTGAAGACTGCTAAGACTGCCATAGGGTCAGAATATCCAGCTGCTTTTTTATCCTTCCATTCATTTTGCATCATCCCTTAATCAGACCAGACAAGTATCAACCAGTCCCTTTTAAGCTAGGTCACAGGTTATTCTCTATAATCAACATTCTTACCCAGTTCATCTTCTGTTACTACAAGAACATTTATGTAATCCAAGGATCAGCAGTTATCAGAATGGGTAACAGTTAAGCATTGTTAAGACAAAAACAGCACTCAGGACTTCTGTTAAAAAATAACCAGCACTTGTACACATCTTACTTACATTATCTCTTGAGGGTGGAGAAAGTGGCGACGCTTTCCAACATAAAAAATACCAGTCAAGTAAAACTCTACAATTACCTAATCTTCCACTAGCAAAATATTTTGTAAACCACTTTACAACAGGAAATGGACTCTTGCTCATACTGAAGAACATGCAGGCCGGTATTTCAATGACTCAGTTTAAAAACAAACTGCTTGACTCTCCACAAAAACACTGGAAAATTTCAAAAAGGTCAAGTATAGTCAATTAAATTACATAAAATTCTAGGCACATTTAATTAGCTCAGAACCAAATAATAAGTAAATACCCCTAACCACTCATTGTATCTTAGCAACGCCTGTTTCAATAGGACAAGGCAGGTAATGTTTTAAACTAAATGAGTGTTGATTCAGGCTAGATGCACTGAAAATATTTTTACAATGAGCAAGGTAGAACAGGTTGCCCAGAGATGGTAGATGGATGACCCATCCCTGGAAACAYTCAAGGTCAGGATGGGCAGRGGTCTGAGCAACACAGCTGAAGAAGTCCTGGCTGAYTGCAGAAGCTTGGAATAAATGACCTTGAAAGGTCCCTTCCAACCCAAACTGCTCTGTGATTCTGTAATGTTGTATTTTAGGAATCAGACATCCTAACTGTGGCTGGGGCTCACTTGCAGTCCACTAAAAACACTCATAAGACATCCAAGTATCAGCAACAAAAACAGCAAAACAACAGCTGCAATCAAGACTCATGCTGAAAGGAAAACTGTAGGCTCCAAATGCATTTGAGAGTGCTCTCTGTAGTTCGGGAGGCAACAACTTAAAACTGTGTATTCATGTTCACAACAGTCTTTGGAAGCAAGTTTCATCATGTTTATACTACCATACCTAAAGATTTCTCTTAGTTTGTAACTAAAGTGCCAACCATTCATTAAGAAACACCTTTTATTCTGAGCTCACTTTCTCTTTAGAATAAAGCATTCAGTTCCTCTCAGGAACAAAATTATAAATTTATCACTGGTGCTGAGTATCAGTAGCCATTCTCTACTGATACTATTGATGGTCACATGAATTCATACTTTGTTGTGACTTTGTCTGCAGTTCAACATGGATCTGTGAATCTGCTAAAATAAAGTACTCAAGTGATGCTGAATTAGGAACAGTAGGCTTTTAAGAGAAAATGTAGTCTACAAAAGACTTTAAGGTATTCCAGACATTTATTGTCAGTGTACAGTATACTTTAAAATAGAAAAAAAGAAAAAAGGCCCAAATAACATAAAATATGTATATAATGTTTGCTACACAAACACCTCACTAAAATCAAGGCATAGTATAGCTCATACTTCATGGAGTTACAAGGAAGTTCAGGCACATACTTTATGTGTGGTTTAATGGTTTACAACTCCTTTGGTCTGTTTAGCAGAAAACGAACCAACTGAACCAGAACATCATCATTAAAGCCTTTCACATTACCATCTTCCACAACATCATATAGTGGCTTACTCTCTGTACCCCAACAGATATTCTTTCGAGGGTTGTTTTCAATCGTTTCTGCAGTTAGTGCTAAAGTATTTAACTGGTAACAAAAGAATGCAAAATATTTTCCATCAGTCACTACTGCCTGTGATACAAAAGGACGGGTCACATCTGCTTCACTCCAGAATCCTACAAAATAAGCAAATACAACAGGTCTTGAGATTTCTACCAGCACATACACATCCCTAAATGCAAGTACTGAAATACAGAAAAACATTGGGAATTACACCAAATGCCTAGAACAGGAAAAAGTCCTGTCTGCTTTCACAACACAAGCACAATTAGTTTGTGTTTCATCCAAACTAACCAAAACACAATCACCAATAAAAGATACGCCCACAATCAGGGACATAGGGATATACTTGCATTTTGTACACAGCTCCCTATTACCAGGTGATAAAAACCAGTCACTGATCAGCCAAGTGACTTTTCTAAAATAGTTAAGTTATTAATGTATCCAAAGTCCYGAAAATGAGCTAAGGGAAAATGTCTTTTTACTATTCCATGATTCTCAGGAGGCAGTAAGCATTTGTCTCATGACAAAAGCATGCACATGTGTGCACAAGCATAATATGACAAAAAGCATTAAGGTTTTAAGCAAGCGCCTCTCAGCACTAGCAGTATGTTAAAAATACACAAGTATTTAGGCATGTGCACTAGTACACACAAATGTTTCTAGAAAGGTGCAACAATGCTAGAAACTGTTACAGAAGAAAAAAAAGTCATAGAATTGAATAATGCAGCCCTTATAACTCATGATGCATTTACAGCTGCAACCAACTCTGAAGACAAGGTTTACCGGACTTCAACATTTTACATTCACAAAGTAAATCACCATTACATAAAAATTGATGCAGATCATGCAACATACACCATAGTCAAAGGACTTTCTTTCACGTGTTGTTTCTCAACTGAAAAGCCAAGCCATCARGTGTTTTATAGTAACACTACACAACAATTATATTTACAAGAATAAGCAAAAGACTGATCTTTTGGGATGTTTTTAACAAACATAAGAATAAAATATTAATGTAAGGCTGCTGACATTTTTAATTCCTTTTATTTTCATGCAATTGAAATTACTGAAACAGGACTAAGTAACATAGTTTTTCCAGAGGAAAAGCACTCARAACTGTTCGATATCTACCACATTTCCCTCTTAAGGTGGAAGGAGCAAGTGAAAGCAGGATTAAGGCTTTTGCACAGGCTTACCATTATATATGAATAAGTATTTTTCTCTGTAATTAATACGCCTGATTCAAAGTACTCAAAAGCCTTAATTCTCTTTTATTAAYTCAATTACATCTGTAAATACTTACTTAAAATACAATCTTCAGGAAAAAAAAGCATGAGAAAAAGGTGGTGAGAAGAATGCCTTCACAATAGGCATTCATAAGCAGAAGAATTTGTCAAGCTGTCTCACCTTGATACATTGCTTGTGCTGCTGTCCAGGCAAAGAGACTTGCAATTCCATTGGMTCGATAAACAACTTCAATCTGATCCTCAAGACGCTCTCTTATAAACTTCTCCCGTTTCAATTTGTCAGGAAGAAGATGAAACTGGGTGTGTCCGTAACAGCATGGATCTGCCACCTTTGATCCTGCTCCCCAAGAAACAATCAGTCAGAGAGAGAACACTCTATTATGCATACTAACACATGTATCTTCAGTCAGATTCCAAAGATAACATTAGAACCTCTACTGTACTTCTGTAAGGAGTTGCCTACCCACAAAAGGCAGGATTTCACATACTAAAATGCCTCTGACAACAGCCCTGGAGATGTATCAAAATTCAAAGATTTGTGTCAATTTTGCATTCAACTGAACTTCTTGAAGCAAATTTGGACACACAGCACCATATGCACTGGAGAATGCTACTCTCCATTGCCTGACATGAAATCTCAATAGAGATCTATCACTACATATATTTATAGAACACAGTTATACATAAAAATAYAAAACTTTTTTGCATTGATGGGATAAGAAAGATTGAGTTGGCATTTGTTTTGGGGTTGGTTTTTGGTTGGAAAACAAATAGTATTTCACAACTAAAACCTCTTACCTATAAATACCTTATTTTCGTACTGCTTTTTGAACAAAGGCAGTTTAGATGGCTTGTGATCAATAACAGGAACATCTCCAAGATCTGACTCCAGTGGTACAACCTTGAAGGCAGCAGAAGAAAGAAAAGCAACGAAGTAAGACATTTCTGACATCAGGCCTCAGGTAACACACCACTTCCTGGTCAGACAACAGAAAGTTCAAGTCTGCTTATGTACATCATACAGGCAACCTCAACTGAAATTCATTTGTTTGCAAGAGAACTTCCCATCTTGTAATGAGTGCTAGCAYAGTTATCTTGCATTAATTTTTCCACAATATACAAAAAATATGTGAAATGAGGATAAAAAAAGCTGCCAGTTGTCACTATCTTTCAAACCAGAATCTACTTCTGCAGAAAGAGCAAAATCATTTCTAGCAGCAGCCAATAAATTTGAATCTGCAAACTAGGTTTACAGATTTGGTTTTCTGCACTTCACAACATTTTAAACTGCCTAGACAGTTCTTCCTAGATGCCAAGGTTTGTAGCATCTGACAATACTAACCCAAGGAAACTGTACAACAAAGTCAGTAACAAAGGTTCTGTGTTTAAAGAAAGTGTGAGTTTTCTGTTTGTGGTGGAAACTGGACAACAAAGATGCTCACTGGCTACACAGTTACCACTGTACAAACCTGCAAGAAAAACATTTCAATATTAAAACAGAATATACCTTCAGAAAACTGAACATTCAATAAAATAACTCCTAATTAGTRACAATAGGCAGGAGGGCTCATGTTCAGATTATAAATGCTTTACTTCTTCTCCTTTTACTCCATCCTATTATTCTCCTCCACTGAGGGAAAAGTGCTGTTCCACAGCACATTTCTTATTCTTCCCTTATTTACCAGCATAGAATGCTAACAATTCAATTTAACTAAATAAAACAACACGTAATTTAAAGTACAAAGACGACCAAAGTTCAGAAGACCATCTCACTATCTACAAAGCARTTACCACAAAGTAGTWATTAAGACTCGAAAAATACCCAAATGTGCTACATATTCATTAAGCAGGTCCTCCACAGACTACCTATTCATGGTTTCAATGGCTGGCAAAAAAAGAAAGTGAAAATGCAYGGTATTAACTTGCTGTTGAAAACATCCACACCTCAGGAAGCTGCTTTGGTACACGGATCTGGAGGTGTGGGTTATCATCTATTTGGAATCGCACAGGATCAACTCTACCCTTTCGATGTCCATGAGCAACAACTTCCTCACCATGATGCCAGTAATAGTTGACTTCAGGCTTTAGATCTGAAAAAGAACAAGGAATACAGAAAAACAGAGATTCTTCTCTTGCGTTTAAAACCCTTCCAATTCTTTTACTATAGCTACACTCACACACAAAACCCGAAATCCATGCACAATGACACTGGTAATTACTARAGATGGTCTGAACAAGTCAGCTATTCCAGAGACACTCGTGACGGCTCAAAGACGGACCCCACCACSCAAGGGCTCCCACGTCCCTTTCCCTGCCAGCCCCGTTCCGCACCGAGGGAGGAAGCAGCCAGCAGTGGGTTGCAACCAGACAGGAAAGCGGCGAGCGTGGAAACGAGCTGCGTGAGAAAGGGGCCGGGCGTGTGATCCTGGTCGCGGTAGAGGAATGGCCGCTTCTTGGTCTGGTAGAAGCTCTCCTGCAGGAGAGCGTCGCAGGCCAGGGAGCGCAGGTCGCTCATATTCAGATACGGCGCCGCTCCCGCCGCAGGCTCGGAGGTTTTCCCGGCCCTGGGTGCCTCCGCCGCCCCCGGTGCCTCCGCTGTTCCCGGCTCCGGGGCCCCGCCGGCCTCGGGGGTCGCTCCCGCCGCCTCTAYCGGGGGTTTCGCAGCCGCGGCTATCGGGGGCATCCCCGGCACGAAGACGGTTTTTGTGAAACTGCGGTACCAGCGGTCGGCGTTGAGGGCGAAGGTCTGCGGGTACACCATGTACTTAGGCCGCTGCAGCTTCCCGTACAGCCGCAGCTTCTCCTCCACCGTGGCCGCCGCGTGCACCCGCTGGTTGAAGCGCTCCAGGCGTCGCAACTTGGCCGCTTTGCTCTTGGCCGTGATGGACGCCACCACGGGCGGGTARAGCGGGCTGGGGGCCGGCGAGGGAGTGCCGGGCACCGCGTCCGAGAACCAGCGCCGGGCGGGCCGCAGCACCCGCCGAGCCCCCAGCGCCGCCATCTCGCGGAAATGYGGGACGGCGGAGGGGCAGGATCCGCACAGCGCGGCAGCTGATTGGTCCGTGTGAACCACGTGATCAATCCGCCTTCCAATCGGCGAGCGGGRACTCCAGCACAGGAGGCTGCTGGGGCAGGAAAAGGCGGGGCTTTGGRGGTGACGTAGCCGGATGACGCCATCACACCCCCGGCGCGGCTCTGGGGCGTGATTCTGCGCATGCGCAATAGCAACGCACGCCTTTTCCTGCGAGAGAACTACAGCTCCCAAAATGTTCAGCGAGAGCCGGCCCGGAAGTGCCGGGCCTGGCTGGAGGAGCCGTTCCCCGCCCCGTGCGGAGTGCGCCTGTGTGGAGC